AAAATTAATTTTTATATATTTTAAAATTAATTTTTAATATAATTTTAAGAAGATATTCTCCACATTAACTTAATATATTTAAATAAATAAATTTATTTAATTATTAATTAATTTGAAAATTTAAACCACAAATCTCATTAAATAAGACACTTAACCAATAAATTCAAGTTCTATGGAGATTAGAATTAATTAAGACTTATTGGAAGACAAATCCTACATTCAAACATGTGCAAAGAATCTTAGAAAAAAGATGTGCTCCTACGTCTCTATTGTAATTGGCTACAACTTGCTTTAATTGAAATATTGAAACTCCCTTACACACTGTCATGTCGCCAAGCATCTTCCAGGAAATATACAGCTAATCACTTCTTTAAGGTTGCTCTTCTCCTTTGTTCGCTCGCCTTTTCTTATAATCAGGCACTGTTTGGCTTGCAATTGGATTCGTACATCTGTTGCTGCTTCTAATTTATTTGGCCTAACGAATTTGATTATCAGTGTCCATTTTCTTTAATTTCTTTTATTAAATTTAAAAGTATATTGTCTATTTAGATCTTTTATCTTAATTCTAGATGCTTATGTTATCTTTAAAGTATATATATTAAATGAAAAATTTTATTTATTTATTTATTTTTGCGAGAACTTGACTTTTTGCAAAATCTCCAATGTCTCTTCATTCTGAAATTGTCTTTTAGCAACAGTTCAAAAAAAAAAAAATTATCTTTTAGCAACTGTTAGTTTCTTTATCTTTAAATGTGCTTTTACCTAATTAATTTGTAGTTACTTAACAAATTTTATGAGTTTTTCTTTTTGGTATTTATTTTTCTTTTAGGACAACGACTTGAGCTCTAAAGAATTGAGTTTGCAATTAGATCTGCTGCTATTTGTAATTTGGTTGGATTAATTTAATTATCATTATCATTTTTGTCAGTTTCATTTATTAAATTAGCAGGTATAACATCTAAATCTTCCACCTTATTTTTGTTTTTTCCTTTGATATTCTTTCATATTGATTCACTTAAGTTCTTTTTTATCTATATAAAATGAAAAAGTAAGTATAATAGAGTATCAAAAGATACAAACCATTTTGAACCTTAGTGTGTGGCTCCTTTGATCACTGGCTAAGTGTTTCACTCATCTCACTAGATTCAAATCCCCTTAATCTCCTTCCCCTCTTCCTATCGTCCAATTCT